ATGGACTCACAGGCTCACAGACTCACAGGCTCATGGACTCACGGGCACATGGACTCACGGGCACATGGACTCACGGGCACATGGACTCACAGGCTCACGGGTTCACAGGCCCATGGGCTCACAGGCTCACAGGCACACGGGCTCACTCAGGTTTGCGCTCTGTGTGTGTTCGGTAGTGGTAGTCCATGCGCTGCGTACATTGTTTCCCTTATCCGTGCTGTGCTGGCTGGTTCCTTCTGTATCACTACCCTGTCCTTTAATCCTGCTTTTCAACCGTTGATCCTTGGGAACTTGGGAAGATTCCAGGGGAAACACAGGTGTTTACACAGCAAACAGTAACATGCCCGTGTCTGAAAGTGCCACGGACCCCGAGCAGAGGCACCGGGGAATTTCTGGTCCAGGAAGCGGCCCAGACTGTGGCCCAGCTGGGAGGTGAAAAGCGTGATGCTGCTGCTGCTGCTGCTGCTGCGAGTGTGTGCAAACCACACTGTTTGTTGCTTCTTCCCCTGCAACAACCAGCACCTGTGGAGTCAGCACGGTCGCCGGGGTCAGCCAAGGTCAGCTGGGGTCAGCCAGGGTCAGCCGGTGTCAGCCAGTGTCGGCTGGGATCAGCCAGTGTCAGCTGGGGTCGTTCGGGGTCAGCTAGGTTCGGCAGACCAGCGTGGAGAAACGGGCGCCCATCTCCCCACGGCTGTGGGGACGTTGGAGCCAGGGCCATGCGGAGGTCACCAGGGAACTGGAGAGTTGAGATCTGGGTTCACGTCCTCAAACCCTGAGAGCGAGCCAGCGGGCAGTCCCTCTGGGCTTCCACCTCCCAGGTGAAATACAGGAATGAAACCCGCTTTAATCTGTTTATAGTAAGATTCAAAAGGTACCATTTTTTATTGATTTGAGAGAGGGGGGGAGAGAAACATTGATCGCTTGCCTCCCATATGCACGGGGACTGGGGATGGACCCGAAACCCAGATACGGGCCCTGACCGAATGGAACCAGCCCCCTTTCTGTGCACGGGGCGGACGCCTGCTTTAGATTTCCAAGGCGTCGTGAGATCGATTGCTGTACACATCTCCCTGCCCAGAGCAGGCACTCACTCCCGGCTGCTGTTACCACCGATTAGAAAACAATCAATTGATGACAATATTAACCTCAGAACCTCACCGAAAACTGAAAGCTCCCGGACTGAGAAGCGCTCATCCTTTTTCTCTCATGAGCCAGCTGTTCCCTCCCCGTAAAACGACAGGCAGGGGAGTGAGGGTGGAGCAGGATCGCACCCACCGGAGGGACCAGCGAGCTCTCACCAACCACCCCCTCGTCCCCCGGGGAATCTGGGCAGAAGGGCAGTTTGCTGTGTGCATTCGTGACAGTTTACTTTTGGCTCAGAAGGTGCTTCTTCCTTGTTAAATATTTACAAGGTGTTTTTATTTATTATTTACGAGGCACTGGGGAAAGTCTGATTTCGGCTTTGTGGATGGGATCGGCGGCATGGAGTTTCTCTTTCACTCCAGGAGGCTGGCTCCCGGCCCAGCCAGGGAGGAGCGGGCCTGGGACCCGGGGCTGCGCCCTCCTGCCCCTCTCCTGCTGCTGTCGCCTCCCTCTCTCTGCATCCTGCTGTGGCTGCCACCTTCCCAGGGGGCGAAGGAGCTGGGCCTTCCTGTCCTCAGTGCCACTCACTCTGACGCAGCTGACGCCCTTTATCTTCCCCAAGTCAAAGAGAGACGCCCGCCTCTCTCCCAGACGTGTCGTTGATGTCACTTGGTCTCGGGAGGATTCGGCTCCCCATCCTTCACCCTCCATTCTAATTGATTTATTAACCTTTAAACATGTACCCAGAAAATAAATGGCTTAATAAAATAAATTATGTCGTCCTCGGTGACGCCTGAAATCCACTGAAACTTGAGAAGGGGCTAATGAAGCGGCAAAGGAATGATTAATGACGGAAACACACTTAATAAAGAATAATTTATTAGTGATCGCAGGCGCCTCACACTGCCCTGGGGGTTCCTGGGAGATGCTGCTGCAATTTCTCGAGCTCCTGGGATGGAGGAGGCAGACCCACGGGCACGTGGGCACTGTGGACCGGCAGGGAGAACAGGAGGCAGGAGCCCCCTCTGCTGAGAGCATGGTGGTGCCAGCTGCTGTGCGGGCCCGTGCACTGGGCTGCTTCGTCTGATCCTCATGCAAACCTGGGCCAGTGGAGCCATCCCCAGGCCTCAGGGCCCTGGGCTTCTTACCCATGTGTTTGCATCCCACTCATCATACCTCTCCCACATCCACAGCAGTCATCCATCCATCCTTTCATCCACCCTTTCATCCTTCCATCCATCCATCTTTCCATCCATCCATCCTTCCATCCTTCCATCCATCCTTCCATCCATCCATTCTTCCTCCTTCCATTATCCATCCCTTCCATCCATCCATCCTTCCATCCATCCATCTATCCATCTATCCATCCATCTATCCATCCACCCACCATTTATACATCCATTCATCCATCCACCCATCATTATTATCCATTCATCCACCCTTCCATCCATCCATCCACCCATCCATCCATCTATCCATCCATATATTCATACATTCACCATTTATCCATCCACCATATGTTCTCCCATTCATCCATCCATCCATCCATCCACCCATTCATCCATCCATCCATTCACCCACCCATCCACCCTTCTATACATCCATCCTTTATCCATCCATCCATTCTTCTATACGTTTGTTCGTCTATCTCTTCACCCATTTGTTCTTTCATCCATTCATCATTAATCCATCCATCCACTCTTCCACTCGTCCATCCATCTATTCAGCCACCACCGTTGCTCACTCACTGACCAATAGTCACTGGTTATCTATCAACAGGACTCCCTCCATCCTTGTCTCCCCAGCAAGTGACCTCACCTCACATTACGTCACAAACAGTTTTGCTAAACCAGCACCATCATCAGTTTCTACTCAGGGGTCCATCACCCCAAGAGCGATGGTTTCCACTCGTCCATCCATCTATTCAGCCACCACCATTGCTCACTCACTGACCAATATTCACCGGTTATCTATCAACAGGACTTTCTCCATCCTTGTCTCCCCAGCAAGTGATCCTCACCTCACATTACATCACAAACAGTTTTGCTAAACCAGCACCATCATCAGTTTCTACTCAGGGGTCCATCACCCCAAGAGCGATGGTGCCAGCCCTTGGGGAACCTCAAGCCTTTCCTGTGGATCCTTTAACCTAGAGGTAAACCTGTCTGCACCACCACCCAGACTCTAGCCCATTCACTCACACTAGGCCTTTGCTGGGAGAGGTCAGCCTGGCCTGGTGGCTTGTGACTGAGGTGGAGAAAGGCCGCTTGCCTGGGGACGGGCAGGGAATGAATCCCTTGAGGCTCCGGGCGGCTCTGGAGCGTGCTGTCAGGTGGGAACTGGCTCACCCCCGTCCTGCAAACCCATGTCTCTATGAAAATGGAAGGAGCCCCGTTGAGTGAGTCTAGGCCTCATCCCTCTTGGCCAAGGGGCAGAGCCGTGTACGTGGAGAATTTGGCCTCACCAGCGAGAGGTCTGGTGCTTGCCTCGGCCTCTGGGAGGCATCTCTGAGTGTCCTGTGTACCTGGGGGTCTGGGGCCACGCCAGACACTCTAACAATGGGACTCAGGGTGGGGCCCTCTGGACACATGGTATCCGCTCCCCCTTGAGGGGCCTGGCGCCTGAGGTCAGCCATAGGAACGGCCAGCCAGGTCCCACGGGCCCCCCGGGCTGGGGAGCGTTTCCGGCGGGGGTACTCCCGGGTCGTTTCTATAGGAGTTGGCGCTGTGCATGGCTTGGGGGGGCGGGGGGTGCAGCTGGAAGCTCTGCCGGGGACCCTTTCTCTCTGTGTCCCAGGTGTCTCGCTGGCGGGTTTGAACCTGTTTTTTCACTTCCCGAAACCACAGCTGCGAGGGTAGCAGGTTCCAGGGGGTCCCCGAGCCCTCCTAGGGGATCACTAAACCTGAGGGCCTGGGAGCTCCGTGTGACGACGCCCGTGGAGCGCCATCCACCGGAGAGACCGCGGGCTCTGCAGGTGGTCGGAAGCAAGGATGCTCGTGTGGACACTTCCCTTACGCTACAGGCAGCTTCCCACCCGGTTCCCGCCAGGACTTGGTGATGGAGGTGCCGGGGCTGCGTCCACAGGCAGCTGGGAGGCGGCCAGCCTCCACGCGGAGCTGGGACGATGCCCGGGGTGTGCGCAGGTGCTTCTCATGGCCTCGGGCCCCCGCAGTCCCCCTCCCTCCCCATTGTTACTGTCATGTTTTATAGGCAGAGCTCGGACAAAGTGAGTGGAAAGCACTTTCGCTTGAGTTTCATCAAAGGAAGTCATAAGAAATCCATAATCTTATAAATAGGTGATAAGACGAGTCTTAAAAATAAATGAGGTAGCGGCTTAATCACATGTAGGGCAGAGGCGTGGGGACAGCGCTGGCTCCAGCTGCTCCTCCCTTTAATGGGCCCTCGCCAAGAAAGAAAGTGGGGCGCCCTTTATCACCCCCAGCCTGGGAACCCGACGCACCCCCTGACTCCGCCCTCACAGCCACCAGAGAGGGAGGTGGCCTTCCCCAGGAGCTCAAGGGGCCCAGCTGGGTCCCCTGACCCCACGGCCAGAGGCCTCCTCCATCGGCCATCGGCTCCCGAAGAACATGCCTGGGTCTGGGCACGACGTTCCAGGAGGTCCATGGAGAGGCCGTGGGGATGGAGGTCTGGCTACACCCCTGCCGGCCCCACAGCTCTGGGGTCCAGATGCCCACGCTCACCTCCGAGATAGAACACCCCCGGCACCTCACCCACTCCCCCCACAATCCCGGCTACCCCTCCTAACCCCACCCACCGTGTCTCCATCCCCACGGGGACAGGTCCAGGTCGGATGGTTTCCTCAGATGATCACAGCACTCCCCTTCCCTGCCCCACTACAGACTGAATATTTGTGTCCCCAAAATTCATATGTTGAACCCCAAACCCCCAGTGGGATGGTGTTTGGAGGAGGCGGCTTTGGGTAACCATAAGAAATTCCACAGACCAGAGTCTTTTTTTTTTTTACAAGATTGTATTTTTTTCATTTTTAAATATATTTTTATTGTTGATAGTATTACAGATACGTCCCATTCCCCCCCTTTCCTCCCCTTCCCCCAGCCCCTACCCACCCACTAGGTCTTCACTACCCTATGGCCCCTGTCCATGGGCTGTGCATGTAAGTATATAAGTTCTCTGGTTTATCGCTTCTCGTGTCCCCACCCCACATTGAGGCGTGTCAGTCTGTTCCCTGCCTCCCAGATCAGAGCCTTAAACCAGGGAAATGTGCTCTCTCCCAGCCCTGGAGGCAGGAAGCCCCGGGCCTCTCTCCTGGGCGTGCAGGTGGGCGCCGGCTCCGTGTCCTCACGTGGTCCCCTCTGTGTGTCTGTGCCCTGATCTTCTCCTCTTAGAAGGACACAGTCCTGCTGGATTAGGCCGACCCGGTGACCTCATTTTACCTTAATCTCCTCTTTAAAGGCCCCAACTCCACACACAGTCACATTCTGAGGTCCTGGGCGTTGGGACTTCAGAAATGCACTTGGGGGACACAACTCAGCCCATAACACACCCTCACTGTGGGGAATGAGCAAAAGACATAAATAGACAAGTCACAGATTCAGAAAGACAAAAAAGGGCAGACACTTGTAAGCACATACGTGTCACCGTCAATGAAACACCAGGTTTCTCCTCGGAGTTTCTACAGGCTGCTCACAGGGGTGGTGACCGTCTGCCCTGGGTGCCAGGTCCTGGGACCACAGAGATGACCGCGACCAACTCCTTTTAAAGCCAGGAGCCCGCCTTTGGAAGCACCTGCCAACCCATCCACGGTCCACGGAGAAATGGAGAGAGACATTCGTTGGTGCCGCACCTGACGGACAGCTCAGAGGTGGCCCCGGTGGCCCTCCTCCTGGCCTTGCCCTCATGTGGCCTCCCCCGGAGCGTGGGCTGTTGGTGACTTGCTCCTAAGGAATAGACTGTGGCAAAGCGATGACCAACACTCCCGGGATCGGCTCACCCTCTCACTGCCGTCTGCTGGTTCTCCATCTCTCGCCCTTGTGCTTTGCTCTAATGAACAAGCTGCTGGGCTGGGAGCTGCAGGGAGGCCGCAGTGCCCAGGTCCTGAGGGAGCCTCTGGCCGACAGTCAGAACGATACTCAGGCCCTCGGTCAACAGTCTGGAGCGCCTGACTGCTGCCATCAACCACTGAGTGAGCCTCGACGTGAGCCCTTCCCCGGTCCAGCCTTCCGATCAGACCTCAGCCCTGGCCGCCATCTGGAGCGCAGCCTGTAGGAGACCCTGAAGCAGAGGAGTCACTGAACTCCTGCCCTCGCAAACTGTGCCATAACCCACGTGTGTTGAGTTCAGGGCTACTCATTACGCAGCAATAGAGAACCGATACATGGCCCCATGCACGCTCCCTGCAGCCTGGCTCCACAGCTGCGTCCACAGTCCCTTCACTCCCCCACACTGGGCTGCCTCCTCCTCACTCTCAGGAACCACCAGATCAGTCCACAAAAGTGGGTTCTTGAGAGAAAAGCCACGTGCCCGTGGCTGTGAGCTCAGAGAGAGCTCCGTCTGACTTCTTCCCCCAGCCCCGTGCCTGGCACCAGCTGAGTGCTCACAGATGGTCTGTGTGGGCAGCCACGCTCATGGGGACTTCAGCCCTGAGAATTCACTCGTGCAGGGGTGCAATGTGTTCAGGGGAACCCCGCCCTCACAAACGCCCGCTACAGGTGGGCACTGCAGGGCGAGCCCCTTCATTCATTTTAAAACCACTTCCTGGGCCTCCGGACCTGCGTGCTGGGGTGCTGGCCGTGAATGACATGAGGCCTGTGGGGAAGGGATGGGAAACAGTCCTAGACTTGACCAGCAGGAGGTCAGGGGCTCACACAGCCCCTGCTCCCTCCAGGCCTGGGCACTGCCGCCCGCAGGAGGCATCTCGCTCTGGCCTCCCCTCGAGGCTGGTTTCAGAACAGTGACCCCCACACTCAGCCCCCAGCCGCCTCGCCCCGAAACCGGCCTGGAGATTGGTGTGGGAAGATGCCAGCTCCCGGCCCATAACTCATGTTCAGTAACCAAATTATTTTTCTTTGGCGGCATGAAGGGCAGATCAAGCTTAATGAATCCAGCCCCCTGGATGGCGGCTGCTCCCTCCATTAGGCGTTTACAAGGTTCTTGCAAATTAAAAATGGGAAAAGGAATCCCTCCCCGCCCGCCTGCGCCTCCTCCGGGCAGGAGCCGCCTGATGGTTGTGATTTCCGTGTCCCCACCGCCCTTATCTCGCGGAAAAATCATTCCGTAATTTTTATGAGGCTCCCGGTAATCCAGGCGACGCTGAGCGATGGCCCTGGACCGTGTCCCCGCTCCTCCACAGCTCCTGGGGGGGAGGGGGAGTAGATGCTCCCTTTAATTTACTGTTTGCAATAACCAAGGCCTCATCCACACCCTCCGACACATCATTCTTGCAGCCCGGCCTGCTGTGGCCAGGAGGGCGCCCAGGAGCCCCAGGTAGGGTGACAATGCCATCTTGTCGCCCTCAGCCCCAAGCCAGCTGGGACCCGCCAGGTGGCTGCGGGAGGGGCTGGGTCCCGGGCTGGGGGCCAGGAGAGTGAGGAAGGTCAAGGTCCTCCAGCGCCTGGACAGCGAGGGGAAGGGGCAGCCGACCGGAGCTTCGCCAAGGAGATGAGGGGTTCCGGTCAACCGCCCGCCTTCCTTCCGCTCCCCTGGACCCAGTGGGACGCCTGTGCCTGGCTCCATGAACCAGGCTGCTCTGAGCCCCGGGGAGGCCTGAGACTTGGTGACGGCTTTGGGTGACGCTCCCTTGTGGCTGTAAGTGACCGGAGGGGTAGCGGAGCCTGTCTCCTTGGCCTGGGCCTGGTCTGCTCTGCGGGGGGTGGGACCAGCAGGGATGGGGGCTTTGCGGTCTGTCCGTCGAGCCCGCCCCCGGCTCGGACGTTGGTCCTGGAAGCTGCATGTCACCCGGCGCCCGCAGCGAGCGTCCAGGTCACACCTCCATCCTCAGGCAGCAGCGCGGCCAGAAGGGGCAGCTCGCACAGCTGACCTGCCCGGGTGGCCTTGAAATAAAAAATGAAGACAACCCTGCTTTTGGGGGGTCTCAGAGGAAGAAAAAATCCTCCCGGAAGTGGAAGTCCGCAACCCAAGCCCACAGATTCCAACACAAAACCAAGGAACAGGAACCCCTCTGAGCTTGGCCACAGGCAGGTGGCAGGAACCGGGGGTGCGGGGGGGACCCTCCTTCAGGAATTGCCTTTAGGGACGCCCCCCTCTCTCTGCTAAAACATCCTCATGGCCGCAGAGGAGAGCCACTGGGTCACTGGCGCTGACGCATAGCACCTCCATGGAGCTCGGCACGGTCCCCGCTGCAGCACGAAGTGGGGCTCCCCCAGCACTCGGGGAGCGGCTCTCATTAACCCGGGACGGCCCAGCGGCCGAGCGCCCGACACCAGGCCTCGACGGGGCCAGCACGGCCACGGAGGGACAGCGCTGCACACAATTAAGTGACTGTTCGAGCCTGCGGCACAGCACGGGAACAGGGTTCATGGGTTGTCCGCAGCGGGCTGAGCCCGCAGGCGTCGGGGAGGGAGGCCGCCTGGCTGTCCACGGCCGTGCACGGCCCGCGCGCTGTAATTAGCTCATCCATGACTGCGCACGCCCGCACCGCCGCCTTGGTGCTCATTAGTCACAATCACAGCCTTCACACCCCACAGGTGGCGAAACAAACGGGGTTGGCCGAGAGCCTGGCTCCCATGCGACAGTGGGCCCTCGCGCCACGTGTCCCGATCGGGGACACTTTCATCAGGTGACAGGGGCCGGGTCTCGTTGTCTGCGTGACTCTGTAACGTTCCCAGCCCCGTGGCATTCCGGAGGGGCATGAGCTGCGATAGCATGGCAAGGTGTCAGCAGCAGCCTCCCTCCTCGACATAGGGAAGATCAGGGGTCCTCCCGGCCCCCAGCCCCCGCCCCTGTGGCCCAGCCAGGCCCCCAGCTCTGGCGCTGGCTGATGCTGGAGGTTCCAGGGAGGGGCGAGGTCACCTGTTTCAGACACACGGTTTCTTTAAAGGTTCAGAAAGGACATTTGCAGCCTGTCTTAGTCAGTTCAGGCTGCGTAACAAAAATACCATAGACTGGGCCCAGCCGGCAGGGCTCAGTGGTTGAGTGTAGACCTGTGAGCCAGGAGGTCACGGTTCAATTCCCAGTCAGGGCACACGCCTGGGTTGTGGGCTCGATCCCCAGTAGGGGGCGTGCAGGACCCCAGGGGCAGGGCCACCAGGAAACGCAGCGCCCTCGGGAGTAAGCACCAAGAGTTCCATTCATTTCAGATGGAGATGCCCATGTCCCGTGTCTCATGTCTGTGTCCCAGGGGTGGGGGTCAGCCTGGCAGAGAAGAAAGATGTGGTCCAGGCGGGAGGGCAAAGGTCAGGACCCCTGTCCAGCCTCTGACCCAGAGCCCCTGCTTCCAGAATGTTCTCCACTGAGCACACCCCCTCACCCCACCAGCTCCCCAGGTCCTGCCGTTCCAGCGCCTGCTGTGAGCTCATGATGACATGGTGAGGAGGGAGCCTGGGCCGTGGAGGTGCAGCTTGAGGTGTGGACTGAGGTCGCTCCCTTCCTTCCTCCCCCTAGGAATGTCCCCTGAGCTCGGACCGGAGCTAAAGACCCCCACGCCACCACGTAGGAATGGAGGCCGATTTCCTTTTGTATCGATGTCAGAGCAGATGGGAGAGGGAGAGAGAGAAACATCAATGATGAGAGAGAATCACGGATCGGCTGCCTCCTGCAGGCCCCACACTAGGGATCGAGCCCGCAACCCAGGCAGGTGCCCTGACCGGAATCAAGCCATGGCCTCCTGGTTCCTAGGTCAACGCTCAACCACTGAGCCACGCAGGCCGGTCAAGGTTGATTTCCTAAGGAAACCTCGTTTCACAGACTCCTTTTCTTTCT